AGTTTTCTTCCACCTTTTCAAAATATATTTATCGGGCATATATTCAGTCTGGTCCCTTCTGAACAATGCTAGGATGTGCTTGCAAATAATCCCAACAAATTCAAATTTTTTGCAGCTACACGATGCGTGGTCAGAATCTTTGACATATACGACTTCTGCCACTCTTGTTTGCCAATTTTTCCTTTCGCTCACATTAAAGACAACTTTTGAAGCATCCTCTGTTTTGAGCTCTAGGAAACATGCTGTCCTTTGTATTAGTTCTTTCTCAAACTTTTGAAACATTGCCCTTGTGTACAAGGTAGCCATTTGTTTGTTCATTGGCATTGGTAGAATACATTGAGCCACTTCAAATGCATCTACGTGATCAGCAGCTAACTCTTTTTGACGTTGATGGGAAAGTGCCCTCTCAAATCGTATTATGAAATCCATCAACGAATTTCTCCTTGATATGTATTGCTTGAAGAAAGCATGAGAACCTTCCGCTCTTTGGCTGCTTGACATTCCAGCGGCAAAAAAGTCTCGTGCGTAGGCTGGAACCCAAGATTCCCTTAAATCAAACATTGAACTTAGCCATTGATGGTCAGTGAAACCAGCCTTTGTAACCACAATATTCCACTTTGCATCAAACTCATCCTTATTGTCAGTATCCCATATGGCTTTCTGAAATTCACGCCAATACTCCTTATAAGCAGAATGTGGTAACTTAACATGGAACTTTGATGTGATGTGCCATATGCAAAGCCGATGAAATGTAGTCGGGAAGGCTATTGAAATCGCTCTGGTGATGGCCGCATCTTGATCTGTAATGATCGTTTTAGGTTCGCCACCTTGCATGGCTTTCTTAAACTCCTCAAACATCCAAATAAACGACTCAGTCGTTTCCTTGCTCAAAAATGTGCATGCTAAGACAATTTTCTGACCATGGTTATTAACTCCCAATATTGGTGCAAATTTCAAGTCGTATCGATTCGTGTTGAATGTGGTATCGAATACAACAACATCTCCATACAACCGGTATGCCCGTCTAGAAGTTGCATCTGCCCAAAAACATCGACTAAACTTGTCTTCGCCATCTCCCTCAATCTTGAAATAAAAAGCCTCATTTTTTTTTTTCTGTTCAGCCATAAAATACTCGGTCACTAGTTCAACATCGTGGTTCCTCAGCTTCCCATTCACACTACATTCAAGATTGTAAATATCCTTTTTGATAAAATCGATTTTATCCATTCCTCCGGATTGCACCTCGAAAATACTTACCTTTTGATGAATGGGGATGTTAACCGAACCCAACTGTTTTGTAAGTACTTTTGTAGAATCCGAAATACGACGGTGTGATCTCAATAAATGCACTCTTTCTGAGTCTGTCATCTTATGATTGTGTCCCTCTGCAAAAAGAGAGATGGCATACTTCTTGCTCCCATTTGTCTTCACAACCACAATCTTAGCTTTGCAATTGCATCTACTTATTCCCCGCTGTCTTTTTCTCTCCCGAGTTTCATCTTTCCTGTATGCACCTTGTTTGCAACAAACAAATTCTTTCCTCAGAATCTCTTTCTTATATGTCCCCCGAAAGCTGGAATGAAGTCGAATACCAAAGCCAGCCAAGAATGCATATCTGTTATAGAAATTATAAGCGAGGTCAAGCGAGTCGAACTTCATCCCAACCGTTGGTGTTTCCTCATTTCTTACTTCAGGAATGTAAACCATCCCATTAGCTGTTACACAGTCATCACTCTCTGAGCCCCCAGACATTTTACCCACATATATTTTTGAACTACTTTTATATCACTGCATAGCAAATATTAATTCATTAATCAATCATTACTGCATTACAACATATCAATGCATTCCACTTACACAAAACATTGCCCAAATTGACACAAAAAAGACGCATAGCCTAGCTTGTTTGTAAGAGCCATTATTACACAAAATTTAATAATAGTTACGTCATCTCTTGTGCAATAATCTGGAAAAAAATAACATTAGAACCAACATGTTCAACTAAGAACACAAATGTAATTCAAACCAGCAATTACAGAACTTCTCCTAATATCCTCTCCAAATGCTTACTCCTAATGCCATTAAGCCTAAGTTTAGGATCTTTTACCTACATTTTATAATTTCCCACCCCCACCAAAAACAATCAACTAAATATATTGAATATTCATAAGGAAATGACGCATTATTGACAGAAAACTGACGCATTATTGACGGCAGAATAACACATTATTGACCGCAGAAATGACGCATTATTGATGCCACAAATGACGAATTTCTCACCCTCACAAAAAACAAACCAAACCCAATAAAATCAATCCAGCAACAGTAAACTTACCTCTCAAACTCAAGCGGGAGCTCCGAAGTCAATCAGCTTAAGAGAATGTGGTGGACATTAGAGAAGACTCTTTGGTAGTGGAGACTCCATCTCTACCACAATCGAGGAACAAATGCTGCTGCGGCGTCTAGCTACAGAACCAGATATGCTACTTTGCTTTCATCTGGAATCTCGTGTGCTGAACGAAAAAGAGAAGGGGTTTTCACTTCAGCCATAGAATCAAAACAGGGCAATAGCTAGATAAGAGCCATTAATCGTCATACCGAGGATGCCATAGATCGCAGGCCTCCCAAGGAGCTGATGACAATGGAGCGACTATAGGGTTTGGGAGCTTTGGATCTTTCTAATTCTGGGTTTTCGTTACATTCAAAAACAGAGGATTGTGTTCTTGAATTTTTCAGAGAGGGAAATATCTTCAACTGAAGTTGGGTTTCCAACGGGTCAGATTTCAACCCGGTTCTACATGCACCCTCTTTTAAAAACTCACCGTTGGATGAAATCCAACGGCTCTAACATACCCCTCAAAAAAACCCCTTATAACTTTCCCCTCACTATAGAAGCTCCCCATGCTGAGGTGGCACAACCCATGATGGGTTTGTCTGCTACCAATGCCACGTGTCTGCGCCTGGTTGTGTAGCCGTTGCAATTCAAATGGCTACTTTTTTTATAAAAAAAAAAAAATTTCTAAAGTAACTTTAAAAGAGGATGGGCTCACGATTTTGGCTTATTCCAAGCATAAAAGGGCCGTTGCAATTCAACTATTCCCTTTAAAATAAAATAAAAAAATTCTTAACTTAAATCAACGATATATATTAAATCTAAGCTATTTTAACGGTAAAAAAAAAGAACCAACAGTTGAAATTTAAATCCAAAGATCAAAATAATATTTTAACTTAATCTAAATTAGATCCAACCCCAAACTCTATAAATACCCACTCATTTCTCAAATAATCTACAAAAAAATTATCTTTTTAGAATTTCAATTTTTTTAGGTTAAATTGTTCAAAAAATTAAATTATGAAGTTATTTAAAAAGATTAAATGAAGAAAAGTTATCCATAAAAAAAAATAGACTTAAACCATTCTTAAACAATTTAATAAAGTTGCGGACTTAAAATTTGATTCTGGAGGGTTGGGAGAAAAAACGATTTGAGTCCGGGCAAAACCCAAATAGTCACTTTTTGGAGGGGGAAAATTTGGGTTTAGCCCCTCATGGGTTGGAGATGGTCTAAGCATCTATAGGGGTCTTTTTGTTCTAGCAGCCTAACGAATGGGCTTGGGCTACTGTAAGAAGAAAACAAACAAAACCTCATGATGCCTGAGTTCAAGAACCAGACTCCCAAAAGAATTTTTAAAAGACTTGTTGAAGCCTTAGAAAAAATACGTTTGGGTTCTCTTCACCAACAACCAAAAGAACGTATCAAACTTATTAGTGACTTAGCTTGAGAATTTTGTGGCATGGGAGCTAAGCCTTCACAAGTTTATCAATTTGAGAGAGAGAGATCAAAGCATGAATTTCTTTCCGAAAAGAAGGTTTAGAGTGGAAGAAAGGAAAATTAGGAGAGTTTCTATCTCAGAAAGAGAGAGAAACGATGGAAATAAAAGATGGGGTAAATTCCAATTTGCTTGACAAAGCTTGGTCTTGCTCTGGAATGGTGTGTGTTTGCTGGGTAGAGGGAGCTTTCTTTTATAGGTGCTTAGGGCTCTAATTCTATCAATCTTCCATTCCCACCTTTCCTTCACTTCTCTCCATTCACTCCTTTTGGTGAAATCTCTTCCACCGGAGTGCAGACCCCTTTGAGTTCCAAGGTTTTCTGTACAGCTAGTTCTCCCCATGGGGGCGAGGCGCCACTTGCTTTTTCCCTTGGTTTTCAAACTGGAGCTCGCAGAGGAAAGGAGAGAATGGATGAAGTCCTTTATCCAGTGGGTATTCCTTCTACATACATGGATTTCCTTTGGTCCTTGCTATGGTCCCTCGTTAACCACCTTGGAGTTCTGATAAGGGTGGAGCTCGATGCTGGACTTCTCATAAAGCGCTGGGCTGGGCTTTGCGCATAGTATTGGGTTATTGGCATGTTATTTCCAACATTCAATGGGTTTTCGTCAAGCTGCTGGAAACAACCCCTTTGTTTTCATTTTGGGCTTTTTACTGATGTAGGCTTGTCTAAGTATTGCAACAAACTAGATATTCTCTTATGGCATTGAATTAATTTTCTCCCTCTGTCATGCTAACCCATGTGTTTGGGCCCAAGAGACGGGCGAGTTTTAGGGCTCCCAAGCAGCCCCAAAACTTTCCATCCCTTGAACCCTCAATGGGCCTTGTGAGTGCTCATATCCATCCATACCACAACCTTCTCAGCAAGCCCCGAGTAATTACGTGGCTTGGGCCCACTTGAGCTTGTAGCATGGTTTGTCGGCATGCATGTTCATTTATCATGCTTGCGCTTGAGTTTTACTGTGCTATAATAAGCCGCGATCGAATCAAATAGCATCAGATAAGTTGATGAGTGTGAATTATAAAGCCGTTGCGTGCTTGCTTGGCATGACATATGACTAGCGGCTTAGGTAGGTGCCTCCTACACTTCCTCTTTATGCCCCGATCGGGTTTCTTTTGCGACTATTTATTTGTACCGGGGCAAGAATAAGCTTGGGCTTAGCCCTTGGATTTTTGGGCCTCAATAGCATCCATCGAACTCTATAATAAAAGAAGTCTAACAAATTTCATTAAAATTTATATAGATTTGTTTTTTTAGCACAAGTGATTGAGGGAGTGGAGTTTACACAAATATTCATTGGGCACCTTCGAACCTATGTTCACATGGATAGAGATGTAAAAGGTCAAACAACTAAGCTATCCCCATTGACAAAAGTCATATAGAATTCAATCAAAATCTATTAAGTCAATTAAAATTTATGAATGATGGAGACGATATATATATATATATATATATATATTTGTGATGAGTTCGATATTTAGTTGTGGCTAGTCTCATTATGGTGATGTAGCGTTATGTGATGGGTGTATTGGTCCTTGTAAAAGTATTCATCGTTTGTGAAGAAAAGAAAAATATGAAATGTAGAAGACTTTATAAACTTCTTTAAAACCCTTTGAATTTGAGGGCCGTTCGATAACCATTTCAATTTAGTTTTTAGTTTTCATTTTTTGTGCTAGATTATAGAGGAAAAAGAGTAAGAATGAGATTGAGATGAAAGATGAGAGGGGAGGAGAGAGGAATGAGTAACAAAAGTGAAAATAAAAACTAAAAACTGAAATCTATTTGAAATTGTTTTCACTTTTGTTACTCTTCCCTCTCATCCTCTCCTCTCATTGTCATTCTCTCTCCCAATCTCATCCTCACTCATCTTCTCACTCTCATTTTCCTTTATACTCTATAATTTAAAAAAAAGAAAAAGAAAGGACTATCAAAAGGCGCCATTGTTTTTTTTTTTTTTTTGGGTCGAACCTTTGAATCTGAGTTGAATATATATATAGTGGAGGGTTTTGGTGAGGAAGGGAAGCAAGCGGTACTACTACTGACGTGATCTTTATCAGAGCCAAAATTCAAAAACCCCAAATTTTGCAAGTCTCCCAGTTATACTCCACCAAACCCTAACTTCCCCTCAAACCACACCTCCTCTTCAGTCCTCCTATCCCAAAACCTAATTTGGGGTCCTCAATCAGTGAGCACATTCGCCATGACGAAGGTGTACGGAACAGGGGCATACGATTTCAAGCGCCACCATGTCGCCGAGTACCCGGTCGAGCAACCCCACCAGCCCGGCGACAAGCCGGTTGAGGCCAAGCCCGGTTCGGCGCTCCCGAGCTCTATAACGTTGTCGGAGATTCAGCGGGACCGCCTTACGATGATTGCCGCTGCTAATTGGTCCAAAACCGGCGACACCTCACAGCCCAAGCAACCCTTCGAACCAGAGCTGGTGAAGGAGATCTATCAAACGGAGTTGTCAGTTAAAGAGGGTCAGAGAAAGACCGTACCGTTACAGAGGGTGATGATTTTGGAGGTCAGTCAGTACTTGGAGAACTATCTGTGGCCCAATTTTGACCCGGAAACTGCCACGTTCGAGCACGTTATGTCGATGATTCTCATGGTCAATGAGAAGGTATGAGTTTTGGAATTGTAGTTTTGATGTTTGTGGAATTAGGGTATGCTTGGTTGCTAAGAAACTGTTGGGCAAGAAAACTAATCCAAGTAGGTATTTTTTTGGGTTAGATAGTGGAACAATTATTTCATTTTCTCTGGTAGATAGTCTCGAATAATGTGTTTCTTAGAGTTTAAGGTTCACGTATTCAGTTTTTAAGGTTTCCAAGCAGTGTAAGAGAGGAGGTAGGTTTTGGAATTAAACGCAATCAATTACCAATTATGATTAAACTTGTGTCTCTTGATTTTTGGACTTTCAGT